GGGTTCTCTGGGTCTTTGACCCTTTGGCCAAGCCTCCAGCTATTTCTATCCCTGCCCTTCCAGCAACCCCGGCGAGGCAGACCTGTTCTGTAGAAACAGTGGTTTCTGGGGTCTTCCTGTTGGGTGTACCTGGAGCCTCTGTCCTTCGTCTTTCCCAGTGCTCTCTCTTGTTCATAGGGTCACTGAGTGGGATTCAGTTGCATGGCGCTGGGTTCTGTTGCCCACTCCGTGGATGTTTGCCACACAGCCTTTCTTATGGAGGCCTGTGAGGACTGAGATGGGTCAGTTAACAGGAAGCCCAAATGCCGCAACCTGTATCTCCCTGGGGGCAAGGGAGGCTTCCTAGCAGTGTTTCTCAGCTTGCCCCGAGGTACAAACTCAGGGACACCCAGCCCCTCAGCAGTTCCTAGATTCCCCAGGTAGCTCACCTGTCACCACCACTTTTCCCTGCCCACTGCCCGAGGCTGTGGCCACTGAACCTGCAAGAAGCCCAAGACCTTACTTATTTATTCTTGCCTGTGGCCAAGGCTGCCTCTGAGGACCCTGACGTCCTAGCCAAGGGCAGTGTCTCCAGCGGTTTGCAAAGCTGCTGGCCATCAGCCTCCCCTCCTGCAGCCTCTGCGGCTCTCCCTACCTCTGTGCCCACCAGGGATGCTGATGCCCCTTAACAGTGTGCTAAGCCGTTGTGCCAAAAGTCTGAGAGCTGGCTGTGATCTGTGCAGCCCTTCATGTGCTGGTGCCACCACCGTGACAGAAAGCCCTTCTCCTCCACCCCACAGGGGCAGCGCCATGTGATGGTCAAGTGCATGCACTTCAGAGCCAAATGGGAGCAGATGAAGCCCAGGGCTTGCACTTGATGGCACTGTGGTTTTGGTCAAATCACTTACCCGATCTGTGCTTCAGTTTCCTCATTTGTAAGATGGATGTGCCATCAGGACCTGCCTCCTCTGGCTGTTGGGCTAGATGTGTTTGCTGTTACCCACCTTAGCCTCATCCTATGGCCCCTAGGCTGAGGCATACGTCTGGTATGGGAGGTGGGGAATGGGGCCGATGAGAAGTTTCTGTTAATCATCTCTGTTTCCATCACCAGCTGTGAGAGATCATAAGGCAATTTAGAGCTAATTGCCATAGGCCTATTTTCTACAGATGCAGCCGCTGCCCCAGGGCCTCAAAGCTGAGTAGCCTGGCCCTAATCCTTTTCACAGCTTTCAGGGAGAGAAGCTTTTTGAGCTCTGCCACACTGGAGTTCTGTTCTAAGAGATCGCGCTGCTGGGCCAGGCTTATAACCTTGTAGGGTGACTCTTCTGCCAGCCCCCCAGGCTCTCTTCTGAGGGTGGTTTATCTTCCCAGAGTCTCCTTGGTCACTTCCATGATGCATCAGCAGCCCCCTCTCTTCCAGACAGGGCACCAAGGGGCCAGGCTGAGAATCCCAAGCCTGGAACCCTGCTCCATCTGCAGAGCCGCCCACCCCACTGAGCCTGCCCCACCCTGGAATTCACAGTGGCACATACTTTGAGACGCTTTGGGGTTTGGGCCTAGGGCTCCTCTGAGGGCCACACCCAGAGGCAGAGTCTAGATCCTTCTTGGAGTGGTGTGTGGTAATTAAGAACATCAGTCCTGGGACCCGACTTGGAGTTAGAGCCTGCCACTTACTACCTGAGCGACACCTAATCAAGGTGGCACTTCTTTCGATTTTCTCATCTCTGAAATGGATGTGAACATGCCTATCCCATATGGTTCTCATAGAAATTCAGTCAGAAGATGTCGCCAAGTGGCCTGAGGCAGGTAGATCCTCCATATGTCATGGTGCCTACCTCTGCAGCCTCCTCTCCTAGGGAAACCAGAAGCATGGTCATCGGGACTGGTCCCACCTAGCCCTCCCATCTCTGTGTTTCTTCTTTGGTTTCTTCTCAACATTTACTAATGGGGAACTCTTCTTTTAGCCAATAATTGGACCTGCCCCTTACTATAGAGTGGGAGCTCTGGTAGCATAGTGGCTAAGGCACTTGACTGCTAACCAGATGTCTGGCGGTTCAAACCCACCAGCCACTCCTTGGAAGGAAGGTTGGGCAATCCTACTTCCGTAGTGATACTGCCTCGGAAACCCAAGGAGGGGTCGCTATGAGTCGGGGCCGACTTGACTGCACATAACAACAACAACAACTTACTATAGTAGACAGATGTGAGTGGCTAGAGGCAGACCCAGCTTCCTTTTTGTCCCTGGGAGTGAGGTCCCTGAAAGGTAGGAGAGTGAAGAAAACAGGGAAGCTAGCTAAAGATCTGAATGCACAGCCCACAGGATGCCTAGAGTGAGCAGCTTGGGAGTGCAAACTCCAGAGGAAAGGCAGCCCCAGCAACAAAGCAGCCAATCAGGTACCCAGGGTCCAGGCACTGGTAGCACTGACCCTCCACACCCCAGTTGCCCATCCTGTTGGTCTCACTGTCCACAGGAGCAGTCAGGCCAAAAGAAACTCTTTAATTAGTGCCAACAATGTGCCAGGCACGTCTACATTTAACCCTCACCACCACTTGAGAGGAGGATGTTGTTTCTTCACCCCAGAAGTTACCTGATGAGGTTAACTCAGTTCTTTGGTGGAATTCTTGCCTTCGTGTGGGAGACTCAGGTTCAAATCCCAGCCAGTGCACCTTATACACAGTCACCACCCAGCTGTCAGCGGAGGCCTGCGTGTTGCTATGATGCCAGACAGGCTTCCGTGGAGCTTCCAGACTAAGACAGACTAAGAAGAAAGGCCTGGCAATCTATTTCCAAAAATCAGCCAGTGAAAACCCAGTGGATCACAATAGTCCGATCCACAGCTGATCATGGGGCTGGTGCAGGACGGGGCAGCATCATTCCATTGTGTGTGTGTCATCATGAGTCGGGGCCAAGTCAACAGCAACTCACAACAACTAGAGGTTAAGTGACTCACCCGTGTTCACACATAAGTAAGTTGTTAGGAAAACTGACAAGGTAAAAGTCAGTTCTACCACAGCGCCCTAAATTCTGTGAAGGAAAAGTGCTGTGTGATAACAGACAGGGGAGAGGGAGAGCTTCCAGGAGGGTTTTTGGGAAGAATTGATATGTAAACTGATACCTGGAGGATCTGTAGGAGTAACCTGGAGAAGAGAAGGAAGAGAAGATTCTGGGAGGGAATAGCACATGCAAAGGCTCAGAGATAACAGAGAGCAAAATAGTCAGGCTACAGCAACAAGTATAACAGAGGGTGTAATCCATGAGATGAGGAACGTGCTCAGCAAGAGGCAGAAAGGCTGCCTGTGTCATGTTAAAAACAGTGGGTTCCAGAAGGGCAGGGTCGAAAGTATCTTAGTAGCACCAAGGCCAGCCGCTTGGAAAAGGATAAAAATTGGAGATCCTGGATAGAATGGGAGGAGAAATATGGAAGAAAATTCAAAAACACAAAAATGACCAGAATGACTGGTCAGATACAGACTGGTGGGACCCCTGAGACTATGGCCTCGGGTTATCCTTTGGGCTTGGAACTGGACTCACTTCCATGGATTGGCTCTCAGCCCAACAGTGGAAAGACCTAAAAGCAGAACACCTACCCCAGAGAGATATACCCCTTAGATTAATCAGCCATGAGACTCAGAGGAACGACATTCATATAGGGGAAAAGCTGGAGAGACAGGAATGTATAGCTAAAAAGGGCACATGGAGGGGGTAGTCACAGGGAGGAGAGATTTTTATGGTTGGGGATTGTAATTGGGGCCATGAAATCAAATGTGCATGAACTGTTGAGAGTAAAACAAATTTGTTTTGTAAATTTGCACCCAAGTCACAATTAAAAAGAAAACAAGTTAATAATCTATAATTTTATGACCTTCTTTGGCATTTCTTTATGTAATAGTATGCTAGGTGTCTCACAAAGCAGAACTATGTAGGACCTCTCCTGAACTCTTAGTGACCCTGCAGGTGACACAGAATTGCCATTAAATGGATCTACAACCTGCAGTCCAAAAAGCAAAAACATCTGTTGTATTATCATATTTTTTATGTTCTTTATTTCATTATACACTAAACTCTAGTTTAGTGGTTATACTTTCTGAGTGACCACAATACTCTGTGATGTTTCTGCTCAGTGCTGCTGACAATTATTTACCCTAATCACCAAGGAACCTTCATGGAACATGTAAGTAAATGTTCATAGCTGTTGTTCGCTTTGAAATCTTTAGTTGTATAATTATTGTTGAATTTTTACCCTTTAGAGGCTGTGTTAGATAGAGGTCTCACTTTACAGCTCTTAAGTTCTAAGTTCACTCCTTAGTTCATGGATAAATGTACACCAATTAGGGCGTCTGTTCCTTTTATTTATAAACAAATCTCCAGTAGTATATATTAAAAGTTAGGTGTTTTTAAATGATGTCATTTGTTGCTGATGATTCTGAAAATTATTCAGTTTGTCATCATAATACTAAATATTTTGGTATCAGAAATATTTTTTTGTGCTTCATTTAAAAAAAAAAATTCTTTTTCCAGCGTCTGGCTTTCAAGTAAGCAAATTATAGTGGTGTCACTTTATTAAAGTTGAGTCGAAGGAAACTGAGAAAAAAGGAAGTATCTTAGTAACTTGAAAAGCAGTTGCCATGAAGTCGGTTTCAATTCATGGCGACCCCATGTGTGTCAGAGGAGAGCTGTGCTCTGTAGAGTTTCCAATGGCTGAATTTTTCAGAAGTGGGTCACCAGGCCTTTCTTTGAGACATCTTTGGGTAGACTCAACTCTCCAGCCTCTTGTTAGCAGCCAAGCGTGTTAACTGTTTGCACTACCTAGCCCCCAAAATGTATGAAGCCCCTCACAGGCATTTGTTCATGTGAGTGATTGAATACTTTCCTCTCTGCTTAGTGTGTGACCTAGAGGTCCTATGGGACCACTTCAGTAGAGCTAGGGAATCCCAGGATTAGAAAGTCTGCAAAGATCTTCAAATACATCTCTGTGTGTGTTGGTTGTCAGGAGGATCTGAAATCTGACTTCTTTCCACAGGTGACCTGGTGTCCCGAGCAATGCATCACCTGCAGCCCCTCAATGCCAAGCACCATGGCAATGGCACCCCCCTACATCACAAGCAGGGAGCACTCTACTGGGAGCCTGAGGCCCTGTACACCCTTTGCTATTTCATGCACTGCCCACAGATGGAATGGGAAAACCCCAACGTGGAGCCTTCCAAGGTCAATCTCCAGGTGGAAAGGTAAGACTTGCCTTGCCTTGGTTGGTCAAAGAGCGAAGCTTCCTCTGGCCAACACTGCCTTATGGTTAGTGGGTCCTGCCTCCAGGATGGGGAAAGGGCTCAGGAAGGGAGGGATGCTGGGAGCAAGAACCAGAACTACCCAGTTCACAGAAACTTGCTGGAGGGCTCTCCATGGGAACCTTGTGCCCCAAGGGGTATCTGAGACCAGGATAGGGTGTTTGAAATGGGTTTGTAGAGGGCTGGTCCAGTTCATTTAATTTTTCTAGAAGAATAAAAATAGCCTGAGTTTAAAATAAAAATCTACCTCAGTTTCATTATCTGTCAAGTAGGGACACTAATCAGATCCTTCATAGGACTGTTTGAAGATGATTGAAACAGTATCTGACACAACGTAAGTCTCAATAAATCTTAGCTTTGATCATTGTTGTTGTAGATATTATCTGCACATAGATAGACCACTCCCAACGTAGGCTGAGCATAGTCTTTCTTTCTGTGTTACGTGATTCCAAATGGTCTTAAAAAGCTCATTGGGTGCTCTGTTTCTGCCAGGATGGATTGGGACTTCATTGGACTCCTTTATAAACCCATATCTCTTGACTTCCAGTTAGGGGAACAGCATAGTCTAGACAGAAGGTTGGTTGCTTTTTTTTTTTGTAGAATCCCAATTTAACATCAATATTTCAATCCAGTCTGGAGTTGGATTAATCAGGGGATTACTCAGATCTCCCACTACCCAGGCCAGATCAGTGGGTATGCTGTCTGTCTATTTTCATATACAAACATACCCAAGATGGAAGGCTGGCAAAACACCCATGGCATGTTTGCCATGGCAAAAAATTAATCTCTGTCATACATCAAAATTTTGCTTTCTATAAGTGTGACTCCTTAGGGTTGAAGGAATGGAAACCATTGACCTCAAACGGTTGATGAAGCTTGAGGTACCTCTGTGGGTATCTAGAGTTTCAATCCCACCTCCGTTTCCCATCACCTGTACAGTAGTGAGATTTCTCTAACTTATCTCCTCCATTTTTGTCTTCAACTCTCATCCCCATGTAGATGACTCCCCTCTTCATTCCAACCACACATCCCTCCTCTGAACTCCAGAATCGTCTCATCTCACTCAGCCTTCTGGTTTCCACTGCCAAGTCTAACACTCTCAGACTAGGCTTCTCATAGCACCTTATTCTTTGGTGCCTCTCACTTAGTGCAGTTTGTAATTATATGTGTATTTATGTGGTTTTTAATTGCCTGTGAGCTTCATGAGGGTAAAGCGTACATCTGTTTTGGTCACCAGTCCACTCCTAAAGCAAAGCTCAATATCTAGTGCATAGTGAGACGTCAGCAAATTTTTGTTGAATGAAAGACTGAACAAATCTGTTGACCAACTGCCTGTGGAACATTTTCATCTAGACTTCTCACAAACAGCTCAAAGCCAAAGCCATGATCTTGCCAAGCCTATGAGAGTTCCGTCACCAGAACCCAGTCACCTCAGTGAGAAACCTAGGACCTCCTCCCGCCTCCTTTTCTCTCCCTCCCTCCCATAGCCAAGACCAATCAGCAGGTCTTATTGACACTCTATCTGTGGCATCTCCTCTTTCTCTTTTCTGTCCTCTCCAGACCCACTTCAGACCCGCTTCAAGACCTTGTCCCCTCCTACTTCAGCTACTGCAGTTGATTTCTTCTTTTTTTATGTGGTTTTTTTTTTTTTTTTTTTTTTGAATTGAGGTAAAATTTGCAATTTTAAAATGTACATTTCAGTTTTTTAGGTATGTGTTACTTAACATTCATTTACACAATGTCCAACCACACATATGTCTGTGGTCCCATAAAGCATAAAGTTTTTTGTTTTGTTTTTTTTTAAAGGAAAAACAGCTCTTCTGTAACACCCTATTTCACAGATCATAGTGTAATGCCTAAGGCAGTTGACTGCTAACCAGAAGGCTGGCGGTTCAAACCCACCAGCCACTCCTCGGAAGGATGGGCAATCTACTTCTGTAGTGATACCGCCTCAGAAACCCAAGGAGGGGGTCTTTATGAGTCAGGGCTGACTCAATGGCACATAACAACAACAACCACAATCATACATGTTAGGTGATGCATACCTTTGTTCACTGTGCTGTACAACCATCACCACCACTTAATTCCAGAACATTTCCATCACCCAAAAAGAAAGCCTGCACCTATTAGCAGTCAGTCCCAACTCCCACATCTCCTGTTGTCTTGTGCCATCATGCTGATTCCAATCATGGTGACCCTGTGTGATGGAGCAGAACTGCTCTGTAGGGTTTTCCTGGCAGTAATCTTTTTTTTTTTTTTTTTAAATTGTGATTTAGGTGAAAGTTTATGGAGCAAATTCACTTTCCCTACAGCAGCTCATATACACTTTGTCTCATGACATTAACTGCAGTATCCCACAATGCGACAGCTCCTCTCCCACTTCTCCTCATAGTTACCGCTTCCCTGTATCCTTCCCTCCCAGGCACTTCTGCCCCCTGGCTGTCTCCCTGTGCATGCACAGCCCTTCTGTTCTCCCACGATTGATCTCTCCAAGGAGTGTTATCTACCTAATGTAAATGTTCATCTCATATGCCTGTCTTGTTTGGCTGGAAGCCAGAGGAGTGGGTTCAATTCCAGACCTGAAGGGCAGCTAGAGGCCATAGTCTCAGTGGTTCCACTAGGCTCTATCAGACCATCAAACCTAGTCCTTTTTTGTTTTTTTATGATTTTGAGTTTTAGACCACATTGTTCTCCCACTCTATCCAGGATTTCCTACATAGATCCCCTCCGAGTGGTGACTGTGGTAACCGATCACCATCTATTTCTTCTGGTCTCATCGTCATATACTAGGCTGAGGGTCGCATGGTGTACCAGTTGCTTGGACTAATTGTTTCCATACATCTTTGGTTTTCTTCATTCTTCTGTGCTGTGGACAATGAGAGACCCATCATTGCATCTAGATTGCTGCTTGCAAGCTTTTGAGATCCCAGTCACTACTTGCCAAAGTAGGATGTGGAACAATGTTTTGTGTAGTATGTTATGCCAATTGAGCTTGATGTCCTCTGCAACTATGGTCCCGAGCCAACTGGTTCAACTACTTGGTCACTCTGGGTAGCTGGCTGTGACCAAGCAGTGACTACAACCATGTCCTTGTCATGTCTACTATACACCTGGGCATGCAGATCATACAAATACACTTATAGGACCATTGTCTGCCAACCCTATACATGTTCTTGGGTACACTCCCCACTTCATAGACATACTTAATAGTTCAGCCTGTCCACCCATCTATCCATTCATATACCCATGTTTGCCTTCACTGACAGTGCAGTACTGTATGTGCCAAAGGGTTCATCTTTGTTGTCTGTGCCTCCCATGCACCTCTCTATGTCTTCCTCTTCCTCAACACCACCGTGTTGAACACTCACATTTGGTACATTGCCCTTCTCTTCACCTAAATCAATACTTGTCTCTACCTATCTAACAGTGTTCCCTCCCCTTCCCTCCCACCCCTAGTAACCAACAAAGAAACTTTCCTTCCATATATAAATCTTTCATTGACTTTTTACAATAAGGAACTAATACAATATTTGTCTTTTCTGTGATTGACTTATTTCACTCAGCATGATCTCCTCCAAGTTCATCCACATTATATGGTGTTTTGCAGATTCTACATTATTCTTTAGGGTTACACAGTATTATATTGTGTGTATGTACCATAGTTTGGTTATCCATTCCTCAGTTGATGGACACCTAGGTTGTTTCCATCTTTTGGCTATTGTAAATAGTACTGTGACGTACAAGGTGTGCATGTATCTCTTCTTGTCCTGGCTCTCACTTCTTTAGGATATATACATAGTAATGGAATGGCTGGGTCAAATGATATTTCTGATTCCAACTTTTTAAGGAATCACCATCCTTTAATCATTATATAATGTCCTTCCTTGTCTCATATGGTGGTTTTTGTCTTAAAGTCAATTTGATCAGAAATTAATATTGCCACTCCTGCTCTTTTTTGGTTGCCATTTTCTTGGTATATCTTTTTCCAACCTTTGCTTTTTAGTCTATTTTTGTCTTTGTCCCTAAGGTGTGTCTCTTGTAGACAGCATATTCATAGGTTATGTTTTCTTATCCAGTCTACAACTCTCTGTGTCTTGAGTGATGCATTTAATCCATTGACATTCAGTATAATTATTGGTTGTTTTCACTTTGGTATGTGTTTTTTCATGATGTTCCTGTTTTCTTTGTTCCGTATAATTTTCTGGGCTGAGCTCATTTTGTTTATGAATCATGTTATCATTTCCTTTGTTGCTATTGTTCTAGTATTTGCTAAATATTTGTGCTTGTTCTCTTTTTTATTTTGGTGTGAAGGTTTATCATTTTTCTTTGAGGTTATCCTTTGATTTATAATTTTCTCCCCGAGTTTAAAACAGTCTATTCTATCTTGCAAATCTCTTGACTTCCTCACCATTTAGAAGTTCTGTAACTACGCTATTTTTTTCCCCTCTTTTTGGTTTGTAGTTGTCCTTATTTTGCCAATTAATGCCTCTGGGTCCCTGTTTACAATCTTGTAGGCTTATTTACTTTGGATACATCCATAGCTGTTTTGGTTTGTGGGTTTATGTCATCTTGTGTATAAATGGTCAGTTGTTGTTTGCTATTATTGGTTCTCTGTTCAGAGGGAGTCCCCTTTAGTATCTTTTGTAAGGTTGGTCTGGTTTTAACAAATTCCCTTAATTTCTGCTTATCTGGAAATCTTCTAATTTCATCATCATATTTGAGGGGCAATTTTGCTGGGTATATAATTCTTGGTTGGAAATTTTTCTCTTTCAGTGTTTTATATATACCATCCCATTGCCTTCTAGCTTGCATGGTTTCTGCTAAGAAATCAGAGCTTAGTCTTATTGATTGTCCTTTGTAAGTAATTTTTCATTTTTCCCATCATGCTTTCAGGATTCTTTCTTTGTCTTTGGTTTTGATGAGTTTGATGATGATATGTCTTG